TCCCTGTTACTGTTTTTTTTTTTTCCTACCTTGGCAGCATCATGCAGTATGATTACAATAAATAAATAAATACCTCTTAACGTGCCTCACATGCACATGAGTTCGGTCCATAATTTGAACCCATGTGTGCCAAGAGAAAGCTTTATAGAGTTTTAATAAAATATTTCAAATTGAATCTTTAAAAAAATTATTGAGAAAGTTTATAGTCACGCTCTCAAAGCTAATTTTGTAATATTAGCTTGTAAATGACCACAAAAAAGACAAATAGACACGTTTTTAAATGTATTTATATTAGTATAAATTCATTTATTTTTAATGTGTATTAAATGCTATACTTCAAAGTTTTTCCAAAGCCTCATTTCCTCAACTTCATTAATATATTTTAAGAATTAAATTTCCATTCACCTTCTATTCATTTTAAAAATCTAAATAATTAAATATATACAATTCATCTCATTAATAAAAAGAACATGAATATACTTTAACTCGACTCTAATCAATGATAGATCCCACATAAAACATCTCCTATTCACATGTGATTTAGTGTCAATTTTCTAACACTATTTAAGTACAATTTGATGATTTTTTAATTCTACCATGGCAGCATTATGCAGTAAGATCACAATAAATAAATAAAATAATAAATATGTTGTAAATATTTATTTTATGGTTATTATCCTACTATATCCTATTTTAGGGTTGATTATGCATGTACTATTATTATCTGATATATAAATAATATTTACAGTTGTCAATGAAAATGGGTCATACTTTTATCTCATCTCTCACATTGATAAACATGTATTTATTGGAAAGAGAATAATTAATTTAAACTCTCAGCAAACAGAACTATAGCAAAAAAGCTTTACCAAACATAATTTATAAATACAAAATTTATTCCAATATTGAGGTAATAATAGATGATATTAAACTCTATTTATGATTTGCATTTCTAGGAATCAGGTTGCCCATTTGATTGTTAGGGAGATTGGTTTGATGTTCCTCCTTTCATCTTAAACGCTTTTTTTACCCGCATGGGCAGCTCAATTGGTCATAGAGGTGAAACTTTGGAAGAATGACCAGGGGTCGAGTCTCACCAGCGGCAGTGTGGGAACAACCTCTCAAAGTGAGGGGGGGTGAGGGGGGTTCCTTGTGCGCAATGAACACATATGTTTAGCCTCTGTGCTTCATGTTCAGTAGTTACCATGATTCCTCCCATGGGGAACCCTAAACCATAGTTACCATGAAGCACAGAGGCTAAACATATGTGTTCATTGCGCACAAGGAACCCCCCTCACCCCCCCTCACCCATGGGGAACCCTAAACCATAGTTACCATGATTTACATCCTCCTAAATGCTCTGTCGGGAGTTACCATGATTTAATTCCTCCCATGGGGAACCCTAAACCATAGTTACCATCATTTACATCCTCCCAAATGCTCTGTCGGGAGTTACCATGATTTACTTACATCCTCATCCTCTCAAATGCTCTGTCGGGAATTACCATGATTTACATCCTCCCAAATGCTCTGTCAGGGAGTGTCGGGTTGGGGTTCAACGTTTATTGGAAGAATGAATATTAGTGTTTTTTTTTTTTTTTTTTTTTTAAGTCAACTCTATGAGTTTATAAACCAATCAATCATTTGGCCAATTCAATTTAACTATGACATATAATAAGACGAATATACACAATATATTAGGGAAGGTCGCCGAATGATCACTAATAAGTTTGATCATACCCATTCACTCTCTCAATTGTCATAATGACGTTACATGTCGTTACAACAAACTGAATTTTGTGCTAAGGTCCTGTTAAAACATGAGAGTTATAATCATGTCTAATCATTATATTTATAATAAAATAGCTATATATAGCTTACAAATCATTAAAAGTTGCACCGAGCTAGCCAATTATCTCTTTGCATTACTCATTATATTTACTCAATACAACATTACATTCTCGGCTCTGATCGCATCGAGCTAGCTAGTCTTCTTCCTCATTCACAATTATTACCATTTTCATACATTCATCACTAAGCTTCAACCTACAATCATATATTGCGTCATTGCGATGGTAAGGTTGATATTAACACCAACAAATACTTTTAAAAAATTCCAACATGGTATGACGTTGGAAAGTTTGTTGGCGTATTATGGGATTTTGGCTGGCGTTTTATTGTGGTTTACAAATTTTAAAATTTTGTAAAAATATAAAATTCTAAGGTATCATATCAGATGTATGTAGGACAATTGTATAGTTTAATTTTTTTTTTTTTTTTTGGGGGGGGGGGGGGGGGGGGGGCATACTGTACATAAACAAAATCTTTATAAAATATCTCTTCATGTATGTTGGTTGTTGGTAAATAAAAATGTTTTATATTATTTATCTATTTTCTCGATGTAACTATATGTTTGATAACAAGTTAACAATGAAAATAGTTCTAGTCTTATTTGATAAATGATTTTGACATCTTTTAACAAATTACGTTCTGTGTAGAACCTGTTTTATGACATTAGTTGGCAAATGATCAGAATAAACTAAACCAATCTAGATTGGCTAAAATCGAGAACACCAATAATAATTCCAACAATAATTTAAACTTGAATTATTGTAGCTACCACGACTAATTGGATTGGAATTGCTCGTGGATGCGGCAACTTGTTAGTACATTGTCCGTGGGTGATAGATCTCCCCATCTATCCAGCAGGATATATGAACAATTGAATAAATTTAGGCAGTAGGGACCAGTCTGACCACTATCCGGCCTGTATTAAATAAAGTTAAAATAAAAAGTTGGTAGAAATGAACTCAACCTTTGTGAATTGTGATCTTAACAATAAGTCAAAGTACCTGAGGTGTAAGTCTAACACATTCAAAACGATTTTAAATAATAATAATAATAATAATAATAATAATAATAATAATAATTCAAAAGGACCAAAATACCCTTGAAGAGTTGAATACCATGTTCATGTTCACATAAACCTAACCTAACCCCAGTAATGGACTACATGCTTATTGTTTATTGTTTAAAAAAAAAAAAAAAAGAACTTTTGTACTTCTATATTTGTATTTGAATTTAAAAATTTGTAATTTAATACTAAATTTATATTTATATCTTATCGTGATTATATTCAACTATGCATAACAGTTATATGGAAAATTCTATTTGCATCACCTTATTTGTTATTTACACCATCAATTTAATAGGTGTAATACCTTTATAGGTGGTGTAAATAGAAAAATGATTTGACTCTGTTTGTCAAGTCTAGCTGAAAAGCTATAAGCTATGACCTGAAAGCTTAAAAGAAGCTGGAAGCTGAAAGCTGAAAAGCTATAAGCTCGGAGCTGAAAACTGAAGAGCAGTTAAGCTAGCTGTTATGATTGAAAGTGTTTGGTAAAATTAGCTTTTTAATAATCTGATAAATGTAAAAAGACTAAAAAGGACATCTTCATCAAATTTAAATTAGTTTGTTTACATATTAAAATTTAACATTTCGTCTTTAAAAAAAATTAACATTTTGAAATAAAATTATTAGCATAATCATGATCTAGCATCTCATAATGAATTAGCAATATTGTTGCAAATCTCATAATAATAATAATAATAATAATAATAATAATAATAATAATAATAATAATAATAATAATAATAATAATAATAATAATAATATTTGCGGTGAAAATTGCAGATAAAGATAAGAGAAAAAGATTTTAATTGAGAAGGGTAAATTATGTCATTTCTTTAACATAATAAGGATAAATATGAAAAAAAAAAAAAAAAAAAAAAGTTAGGAAGCTAGGAGCTTATTTTGAAATGCTACCTAAGATAGTGTTCCAAAATAAGCTCTTATTTTAAGCTAGGAGCTTATTTTGGAAACATTACCAAACAGAGCTTATAGTTTATTAGTAACTTAAAATAAGTTATAAGCTCCTAAATAAGCTCTGCCAAACAGAGCCTATTTCCACCACCTCATAAAATGTAATCAAACTTTAATATTTGAAGCAATGGAAGGCACTCTATACAACAAAATTAAACTTTATATACTTTGATGGATCATTCTCATTTTCTTTGTATCAAAAAATGTTATTTATAATATTTTTAAAGTAATTAGGTTGGACTCATTTTTTTAAGTAATTAGATTCAACTCATTTTTAGTCATCAATACATAATACGCATGTGAACAATACAAAATTAAATGTCGTTCTAATAAGTAATAAGGATGCCTATTTATATAATTAAGAATAAGTTTTAATGGATATCATACATACTTCAACATCGCACATAATGTGTTTTCCAAATAGAGTGAGAACTCGTAACGGTCATAATAGTTGTAACGGATATTAATTGACCACGTTTATCCAACCTCATGTGTTGACTTGAACCGTAACCCAACGCTCCTAGCCCGACCCCAGATCGGCATCCTTGCCATAGATTTGAATTTCTTCAACCTAAAACTATTCAATCGGGTCCAATATATACATTCATATTAAAAATATAGTTTTAGGAATCTCATGATGTTGTTAGCTAGTGTGTCTTTTCAACCTTTGTGCGCTCGTGCGATGTACGACATAAAATTTAACTTATTGTTGATAATGTTTTTAAAGACGATAAAATCAAATATGAATCATGCTTTTAATCTTTTTACATTTATCAACTTATCAAAAAATTAATTTTACCAAACACTTTTAAGTATAATCAATTAGCTTAACAACTTTTTAATTTTCAGCTAAGTTTAGCTTATATATTGTAGTCAACCCAATTCAAACTGAGAAAATTGTAATATGTAACATATACGATGTACCCAAAAAAATCAAACTACAAATTTAGTAATAATTAATTAGTTATCGAACCAACTTAATTAGGGTTAATTTAAACTGGAGGCAATTAAGGAGTAAACATGACCCCAAGAATTATTCAAGTATGAAAACTGAGAAGTAAAAGGTAACTTGTATTTCCCTGGTCTCATTTGTCACCAACCCCCATCACCTTCCTTGTATTCTTCATGTCAATTTCCTCACTTCTCGAGTTGTGTTGATCCCAACAACCTCAATTTGGGAAATTAGGTAGGTTTAATCCCCCCACTAATGTCATCGTTTTAAAAGCCTCCATCTTTAGACTGCCCACCTAGCATTTCTACATCCCAGTAGTTCTCTTCTTTCTTTCCCTCCCTCCCGCAAGGCTAGCCATAGCCATAGCCATAGCCAACCCCCTCTCTAAGATGGCAGCCGTAACGTCTACTGCCAAATGTCAACTACATTCCTCCAATCCAAATTCTTCCTCCTTTTCCCACACCCGTTACGGCTTGATCAATTTTAGAAAGACCCAGTTGGGATTCCAACATAAAATCCACACGAAATGGGCTCCGGGGGGTCGTTTGGCGTTGGCTAGTGTGGAGGGATCTCGGGGCTGTGTCGGGCGGCTTGTTCCTCCTCCTCCTCCTGCTGCCGCTGGTAGGATTAAGCAGAGAGGACGTGAGGTGAGGTGTACTGCGGAGGGGATAGAAACGGGGTTGCTGGGCGTTGGCGGGAGAGCCGCCGCCGCCGCCCAAGAGGAGGGTTTCATGGTCCCGGAGAGGTTCAAGGTGGTGGCTCTGATGGCCTGTGTGATGTCCTTGTGCAATGCTGACAGGGTTGTGATGTCCGTCGCCGTCGTTCCCTTGGCTGCTAAATACGGCTGGAGTAACGCTTTCTTGGGCGTCGTTCAGGTTAAAAAAAAAATAAAAATCACAACTTTAAATTTCTCTTTATTTTTAGTGTCCAATATATTTCATCTCTGTTTGTTTTTGTTCTTCATTGGTAAAATTCCTGTTTTTTGATGATTTTTATGTTGCTTTACTGTTCCTCCGAGGGTTGGGCGGGGAGAGGGGGGGGGGGGGGGGGGTACTCTTGGCTGCTGGATGGGGAAGAGAGTTTGAAGCTCTAACGTTGGCAGCCAAATCAAGCAGACAACAGCTGGAATCCAGAAAGGAATAACCCAAAAACCAGGACCAGTGGGTCCCAGGCAAGGGTCACGAAATCTGTAGAAATATATAATTACTCATCAATATAAAAATCCCAGTCGGCTCATAATGTCATTGATGATCATTGATAACAGATTTAATTTCAGACTGCTTGGATGTTTAGAACTGGGATCCACACCTTTTCATTTTCTTTTTTCTTGAGGTCTTGTGGGTTGGTAGCTTTCCTTTAAACCATAAAAATAAAAAATAAAAATTTGGTCTTGGTGGGTGTTAGGTAGTGGATTAAGAAGATGACAAGAAGGGCAAGACTCACGGCGGGGTTCGGGCAAGGAGAATTAGATTTTGGTTGCTGAAACTTTCTGTGAACTGAAAGCGAAATGATCACCTACCACAGATTGTTTTATTTTATTGCGAGTTTCTTCCAATGGCAGCCAACAACCAGTCTTTATTGACTAGCCACTGTTGTGAGAAAGATAGATTATTTGTTTAGTGTATATAGATTATGTCGTGCCAAACACCCTTGATTAGATTTAGTAGTTAAGGCAAGATTTCTTAAACATAAGGTTGAAAGTTTAAATCCATCATCTCCAGATTCTCCACCACTGTAAATTTTACCGATTGATATTATTTTGCATGTTTAGTCATCGTTCCTTTGGGGATACATATTTTCATCGGTAATTGGAGGAGCATTGGTGGACAAATATGGAGGGAAGAGAGTCATTGCTTGGGGTGCAGCCCTTTGGTCCCTCGCCACTCTTCTTACACCATGGGCAGCAAATCACTCCACGGTTGCTCTCTTAGTTGTTCGTGCTTTCTTTGGGCTTGCCGAGGGGGTAGCTCTACCTTCCATGAATACCCTTTTGTCCAGGTAATGCTGGTATTTATTGGGTAGGTAAAAACATAACGCTCCATCTCACGTAATATAGTTGTGCTAGTGGTTTTGAGTCGAATGTAAACTAAATATTTCGTGCTTAATTATTTGAAAGTATATGTAGCTCAGCTTTTTATTATGTCTACTATCAGGTGGTTCCCGTGTCATGAACGAGCTACTGCTGTAGGATTATCGATGGGTGGATTCCATCTCGGAAACGTTGTGGGATTAATGCTAACCCCTTTGGCAATGTCGTCGATTGGAATTTCTGGCCCGTTCATCCTTTTTGCGTCTCTTGGGCTTCTCTGGCTAACGATGTGGGTATTCCGGGTCACGAATGATCCACAACAAAGCAATTCCATCACAAAGGCAGAGTTGCGGTTGATTCAAGCCGGAAAATCTGATGCTCCCGTGGTTAAGGCCAAACTCCCCCCTATTCATCTCCTGCTATCTAAAATGCCCACTTGGGCCATCATAGTTGCTAACATTACCAACAACTGGGTAATCTTTTATTTCCGAAGAGCTTTTCTCCTTTTTTTGTTATTGTTTGAAGTTTGAGTAATGAATTTGAACCGGGCTCTTGAATGCAGGGATATTTTGTTCTTCTTTCCTGGATGCCGGTGTATTTCAAAACTGTGAGTTTATTTTCTCTCAAAAAACTATAATAATTTGTTCTTAAAGATCTTGTAATAAAGATGCTACTTTTTTCGTGGGCACGAGGGGCTTTACGATGAGATTAGGCAATTATGTCATTACGCATCTTTCAAGCTAATCCTACCGAAAATTCTCTATAGGTTTTCAACGTGAACTTGAAGCAAGCGGCTTGGTTTAGTGCTATACCATGGGCAACGATGGCAGTGTCAGGCTATGTTGCAGGGGCTGTGTCTGATTCCTTAATCAAAGCAGGATATTCCATAACATTTGTCCGGAAAGTCATGCAGGTAATTCGTGCTGCATATTCTATCAGGATCGAACCTTATTTTTATCAAATTTTAAGCATATATAACTCGGTTTAAACTTTAAACACTCATTTTGTCGTTGGCATTACAGTCTATTGGCTTCATTGGCCCCGGATTGTCATTGCTCTGTCTGAACTTCGCCAAGACACCCGAGGTTGCAGCCATAATGATTACAATAGCCCTGAGCTTTAGCTCTTTCAGTCAGGCTGGCTTTTTACTAAATATGCAAGTAAGTCGAAAACAACGAATTCAAGCTAAATATATTCACCGAATTGTTGCTCAATGCTGACCCGTGTCACTTGAACAGGATATCGCACCTCAATATGCAGGATTCCTCCACGGTACGACCTTATGTCATTTTCCTTCCCAGATTTCTTCTTTCTTCAAACGTTGCAGTAAATTAATCGAACGAAAACTTTATGAACAGGCATATCAAATTCGTGTGGAACAATGGCCGCCATAGTGAGCACGATTGGAACTGGGTTCTTTGTACAGTGGCTGGGATCTTTCCAAGCATTTTTGACACTCACAGCTTGTCTCTACTTCATCTCTGCCATTTTCTGGAATCTTTTTGCCACTGGTGAAAGGGTTTTCTAAACTCAAACTCCATTCAGTAGCCTAGCTGAAGATGAAAAAATACAGAAACAGTGGGGAGAGGAAACCTCATTGCAATGCTTCATTCTTTAGTGTCGTTTATATTCTAACATATGTCTGGGGAAGGATCAGACTTAGGATTGTATAGATATTTATACATTTATATATGGAGTATATGATATAATATATATATACATACATATGTCGTGTGCATCAAAGAAAAGAAGGAGAAGAATAACATTCTTTTTGGTTTCTTGTTGATTCTTTGATCCAATTTGATCTTTGTCATTTCAATTAGTCACATTTGAAAAAGCATTTAGGCTTGTTTGTGTATGGTTTGGTTTTTAATTTTTTATAAACTAAACTATGAAATTAAAATATCAGCTTTTTGTTTGTTAAGCGGTCCGCGAACAAAATCGCTAACTTTCTAGCTCGGGAGGCCTTATTTAAGTCTGGCCGGATAGACGGTAATTTGGTCCCGTTTCCTTCTCTGGTTAATGTTTTGGATCTTGACTCTATTTAATATACTTAATTTTTGTTCTAAACAAAAAAACATAGACACGTTGGATTAATTTTTGTTCTCACTTGCAAATGCCAGAGTCTCCTAATCCATTCTTCTACCTATATGTTATATACTTAAGAGAATTTAAAAGGGATAAGAAGAATTTTCCGTAATTAAAATATTTCTATCACTTTCATTACTAATTTTAAAAACAAGTAGAGACAACCCTAATCAAGTTGGTTATATTATTGGTTTGATGAAAAAAACAAAGCAAAAAAAGCAGCATGAGAGGGAGATCATAAGTACATCTACAATGATTTTCTCATTTTCCCTCCAAATTGTGAGCCCAATTCCTCCACATCACTCATCACCTTATAATTTCCACTCCTATTTTCTCTTTTATTTTTGGTGGGCCTTATTCATTCAAACACCTAAACATCATCTACGTAGTATTATTTTATTATAATCATGGTGACTCAACTGAACATGAACCATAGAGGTTAGACCGGTGCTCACTGCGCACAAGAAGCCCCCCTTACTTTGAGAGGTTGCTCCCACACTGTCACTGGTGAGACTCGATCCCTGGTCATTATTCCAAAGTTTCACCTCTACCAGTTGAACTACCCATGCGGGCATTTGGTATTTTATTCACTTTTATATATATATATATATATATATATATATATATATATATATATATATATATATATATATATATATATATATATATATATATATAAAATTAATCATTTTGATTTTAAATAAAAATAAATTTAAATAACGAAATTTAAAAATTTTAATCAAATTTTAAATACTATTTTTTGAAATACTATATATACCAACAATTAAGAAAATTTGGAATCAAATTTTAAATTCTATATATACCAAAAATTAATAAATTTTAAAATTAAAAAAAAATAATATAGAAATTTATTTTTATTTAAAAAAAAAACAAAAATACAAAGTTGTTTAGTTTAAAAAACAAACAAAAAAAATTATAATATGGCCGTGGGTAGGGGACAAGAGACAACATGTGCCCCACCCATTGCGCGTCATTTGTGCCGCATGAGCAACACGCGCTACGTGATTAGCATGTGTTGCTTACCTACGCAGATTATCTCTGGAGAAGAAGTTCTCTCTAAAGATTATCTTTTCTTCCCCTATAATCATTTTCTCTTGAGCAAATACTAATTTTAGTTCGACGAGTAATAACAAAATGACACGGTCAACATGTTTAATTCCTATCAATTTTCATTCACGACTATTGTTTTGATGCTAAAATTTATCACGCCAATCACCCATTCGTTTAAAACATGCCAAATTTGAAAATTTTAAGGGTATTTTCGTCTATTTTCAACTTAAGTGTTGAAACACAAGTTGTGTCGATCTGTAGAAATATATCTGTTGAGTTTTGAAGAGTTATGTTTGTAGGATTGTGTCTTTTAAGTGTGTATATATTTGTCTGGTGTCTCCCCCATTGAGACAGGGAAGTAATACAACAAATTCTTCTAAATCTTTCTTAACATGGTATCAAAAGACAAAATTTGAAAAAAAAAATAAATAAATTCGGTGAACAGTAAAAGTTACTATTAATCCGAAATTATTTTCTCAAATTACTTGCTATTGGTGAGTTCTTTTGTCAAATTAGTGCTATTAATCCCCTCTCTAGTCTTCGGCGACCCTGACCTATCCATTCCCGTCGCTAGATCATCCTCTACGCGCCGCCACGCGCCAACGCGTGAGATTGTCTCTGGCGGTATTTTCTGGTGAACTTCTCTTTCTCTGTCCAAAGAGAATAGTTACTTGTAGGAGTCGAATCCAGGCTATCCTGAAGTTCTCTCCACAAAGAGAGCTCATTTGTCACTTGAGCTACCATGTTGGATTATAAATATGCATTATTAATGGCACTTTATAATTGTTAGTACTATTGACTCTGTTACAATGTAGTATATGTTTTATACTTTCTCTATCTATTGCAACCTAAAGAGTCAATATTACACCATTGGGATTCAGTCCTCTGTAACATTTTTTTCGAGAAGAGTAAAAAATATGTCATCTAAACAAAAAATGTTTTTATTTTTAAAAGAGTTAATTACTAAAATGGTCCCTTGACTATAACGAAATTACCAATTTAGTCCTTGACTATTTTTTTTTAACCAATTAAGTCCCTCAACTTTAAAATTTTAACCAATTTGGTCCTCCGTTAGTTTGACCATTAGTCCACTGTTAACTTGGGACCAAATTGATAATTCTGCTATAGTCAAATGACCATTTTGGTAATTAACTTTAGGGGTGGGCAATTCGATTTAGTTTTCTCGAATCGAACCGTACCGAACCAAATTTGGTTCGGTAATATACCGAACAACTGAACGGTATTGGATTCTTGTATACCGAATGGTTCGATAAAAAACCGATCCGAATTGTTCAGTAAAAAATTGAACTGAACCGAATACCGTTTGATATTTTTAAAACAATATAATAATAATAATAATAGTTCTATATTATGTGTTATGGTGTTTACATAGTCCATATCCAAAGTCTAATATATAACAAAATAACAATCCAAAGTTCAAAAGGTATTCGGTTCGGTTCGATTTTTACCGTACAATTCGGTATACAAGAATCTATTACCGTTCGGTTGTTCGGTATATTACCGAATCTAAATAGTTTTGTATGCTATGTGGTTCGAGAGAACTCAACCGAATTGTCGACCCTTAAAGTTAATTACCAAAATGATCCATTGACTATAGCGAATTACCAATTTGGTCCTAAGTTAACGGTCAAACAAACGGAGGACCAAATTGGCTAAAATTTTAAAAGTTGAAGGACTTAATTGGTCAAAAAAAATAGTCAAGGATCAAATTGGTAATTTTGATATAATCAAAGGACTATTTCGGTAATTAACTCTTTTTAAAAATAATAATACGCTTCAACATGATGTTCCCTGTTTAATTTCACCAGTAGAAACATGAATGATAAATTATATATGTGTGTACAAAATACATATATTATTTGGTCCCACAACTATGGTGTCTCTAACAACTTTGATCCACGACTTTTAAAACTTGCAGAATTTGTTCACGACTATGACTTTCTTAGCAACTTTGGTCCTTCTGATACATTTTCAGTTCAATTTTTGCCGAAAAATTTTACTCTCATTTTAACATTGGAGTAAATTTGCTAAAATGTGGAGTAAACTTTTTTGGTAAAAATTGAACGGAAAATACACTGGATGGACCAAATTTGTTAAGAAAGTCATAGTCGTGGGACCAAAAATGCAAAAAACTCTGATTTACAATAACGCTAACTTCAACAATAGATTTTTTACTTAAAATAATTGTTTTTTTAACACTTACCTATGTGCATAAGTTTCAAATATTCAAGTTGCTCAAGTCCATATTTGTCGTTCAAGCAAATTTTTTCATGTTAAATTTTAATCTTCAAGTATTTTTCAAGTGAATGATAAAGTGTTTGTAAACCTACAACTTCTATGCTTCTTGAAATTTGAACTTTATCAATGTCAAAATTTTGCATGAAGTTGTTACCCTATGCATAGTTTGCTCTTCCTCCTACTCTTGCAAGAGCACTTAAACACAAAAAAGGTAAATAATTATTAACAAATTAATGAAGAGAAAAAAAAATGAAAAGCATAAAAATAAAAAATAAAAATCAAAAAAGAAACAAAATTGAGAGAAAAGAAGAAACTAAAAATTGCAATGAAAAATTCAAATCAATTTTAAAAGAAAAGGCACTACTATAAAATGAGTCATTTAGTAAATGACAATAGTAAGACATCTAAAATAATTAATTTTGGAAGCGTGTCTCTACTAAACACAAACGCCTATTGTTTAATATTTAAAAAATATTAATTGTAATTTGAAACTTTTAAATATAAGAATGTACTATAATTATGACACTAGATATATTTCTATAAGTTTGAATCTATAGATACAACCAACGTTATTCCTCAACTAATCAGTACACAATTAACATGTTTGGACAAAGATAAAGTTATTGATGAAAATGGACAAATGGATAGTCAAGCATGTAGGTTACTGCAAAATATTTGACATGTAAAAACAATCTATTATCCACAATGTTCAATTGAAATGTTTATCATACCGTTTTGAGTTCTGGGAGAAAATATTACAAGCCTGCAATCCTGCAAAGAATATAAGATGTTTTGTGTCTATTGAGATAAGAAAGCCACAACATTACTTGTTTATTCCAGTTTCCTCCCAGAACTGAAATAGAAGTCAATGAAGGCCTCCATGAAAAAATTATAGAAAATTCTATTATCCACAATGTTCAATTGAAATGTTTATCATACCGTTTTGAGTTCTGGGAGAAAATATTACAAGCCTGCAATCCTGCAAAGAATATAAGATGTTTTGTGTCTCTTGAGATAAGAAGGCCACAACATTACTTGTTTATTCCAGTTTCCTCCCAGAACTGAAATAGAAGTCAATGAAGGCCTCCATGAAAAAATTATAGAAAATATTTTAGCCAAATAAAAAAAGTGACATCAACTAAGCAAACAAATCACAAACTTTAAAATGTCAACATCGAAAATAAGTTTTGGTGACCGAGTATGGACAACAACTCCGGAACTCATTACCTGGTTCCAACAAGAACATTTCACTAAGAAGAGTTTGAAAGAAGAAGAATATTGCAACAAATCGTAATACCGCAGCAATTGAGGTTTAAGGGCACGCATGTTGAGTGAAAAACATCCATTTCAATTATAATTGTAAGAACCAATAGAGAAAACTCCACTGCCAGCATACCACCAAGCCCCAATAAAGAGCACTTTTAACAAAAGGAAAAGTAACACATGAAAATTTAAACCCTAAACAAAAAACAAAAAGCACAAGAACAACAATGCAGAAAGAACCCAAGCAAAAAAAAAAAAATTGTTTAAAATGTTGAAAATCATCATTTTAAAACATTAAAAATACTTTTAAACCAAAAGCAGAACAAAGTAATAGGAAAACCTAAACTCCTTTATTTTAAAAACAATTTGAATCACTTGGGGAACGATAGAAATAAAAAAAAAAAATTTAAAATAAAGGTGGCCTAGTGAAAATAATAATAATAATAATAATAATTATTATTATTATTATTATAAAAATAAAATTGTAATATAATTTTAAAATTATATAATGAAAACTAAAAACATAAAAAGAATATCAAATAAAACAAAATGGATCGTAAAGAAAAGATAAACCAACACACACCAATAAAATAAGGAAAACAGACTAAAATACAGTTGCTACTCCTAGAGAAATAGAAAAATAAAAAAATCAATAAAAATACCTCTACAAACATTTAAAATACTTCAAAAACTAAAAATACGTAGAAAGAAAGTGCAAAATATATTCCAAACAAAAATCGTTGTAAAAGTTTATTAAAAAACACACATACTAAATTCCAAAATGTACTTTCAAAATATTTAGTGAACACTAAATGTATGTAGAGACAACGTTAAAAACAAAAACTAAATAAAACAAAAAAATAAGTAGAAATAACACCAAAAAACATAATAAACTCTAAAAAAGAGAAATTATCCAAGAAAAAAAATGAGAGTGAACAAAAAAAAACATAACAAATCCAAAAAGAAAAAAGAAAATAACATTCGAAAAAAAAAAACAGAAAATCGGTTATCAAAATTATAAAAAAAAATACTAAAATACTAAATCATAAAATGAACTTTGAAAATATGAATTTTAAAACAAACAGAAAAAAAAACGCAAATAATCGCTTAAAATCATATAAAATGAGCTTTGAAAATATGTAATGGTTAGTAAAAGTATGCAAAAAACAAAAAAAACAAAAAAAAAAAGAGTGATTAAAAAAATTAATGCAAGATTTTTTTTTTAAAAAACATAAAATAAAGAAGAGAAAAAAAATCCCAAAAATGAAGGAAAAACGATATTAAAAAGTGAAAATAAAAACAAACCGCTTAGAAAAACATTAAAAGCACCTAAAAATGTAATTTTTATAGAAATATAAGTACTAACTTAAATAACCAACTTTACTACCAATATTCAATACATTCGCTGATCTTGATATACATCTTTCACTTCATTAGAAGGTAGTGCTTGTATGCAAAATGAGGAAAAGAAACAAGCAATGCAACAGTGCTGGAAACACAAAGGTAATCTAAAACACAGAAATGAAAAGCCCAAAACCAGTTGGAATATAGGAAGGAGGAAGCATTACGTGGCCTTTTGGACCCAGCATGTGTAGGCTCAGAACAAGCTGTCACATGATCTTGAGTATGCAAAGCATTCCTATAAGGAAATTTCAAAGTTCCTGCAAAGTAGAGAAGATACTTTTATAGTTCATATCAAATGTTAAAACATGGAGAACTATAGTTGCAACAATAATAGCTAAAGGTGAGCCATAACCCAAACAATCAACTTAGCACTCAACTTCAAAAATATGAAAACAACTTAAAAACTAAAAAGAACACTTAAAAAATGCAAAAAAAAAAAAAAAAAAAAAAAAAAAAAAAAAAAAAAAAAAAAAAAATTGAAAAGGAGTTAATGCTAAATAAAAACAAAATGAACAATTAAAAAAATTTAAAAAAAAATAATGCAAAGAATTAAAAAAAATTAAAAACATAAAAATCACAAAGAGAAAAGAACGAAAAAAATGAAAGAAAAATTTATCAAAAATTAGAAATAAAAAATAATTTTTAAAACTAAAAAAACACATGAAAACACTCAAAATACATGAAAAAGTAACTTAAGAAATATAATTACAAAACTGTAAAATAAAGATTGAAAATACACAACAAAACTAAAAATAAGTAAAACGAACAACAAAAAACATAATGATCTATGAAAAAAAGAAAGAAACTATTCAAAAGGGAAAAAAATGAAAAGCAAAAAAAAAGAATACAAAATAAACTAAAAGATTTTTTTTTAAAAAAAAAAGAAAAAAAAAACAAAAGAACATTAAACTGAAAGAAAATATAAAAAGACAAACAAATAAAACTAAAAGAAACTCGGAAAAAAAAACGCTAAAAATAACTCAATAACAAAAACAAAAAGAAAACTTAAAATTATTTATTACAAATATAAAAATAAATTATAAAATGAACATAGAAAATATATTATGAAAAAAGAACGTAAAATACAAACAAAATGAACAATTTAAAAGAGAAGGAAATTAATGCAAAAAATACAACGAATAAAATACAGAGTAATATGTTAGGCAAAGCCACACATGCAAATTCACCAACATTGTGAAAAATAATAATACCTAAATATTATAATTTGGTAGGGCTTCCCCTCTGCCCTGGGCAACAATGAAATGGCAAAACCTCCGTCATGCAGAGGTAACAACTCCTGGAGACCGTCAATAAAATTAATTGAGCATTAGATATTAGCAACTGATCATGAAGTATCTTGGCATATCTTTCTAAAAATCATCTAAACTATAAGCAAACCTTTGAAAATCCCTGTTGGTTCACCATCTTCTCCACCGGTTGGATCTATCAGGAATGTGCTTTCACTTTCCATCACAAAATCTAACGCTCTTGAGACATTGCCTGCAAACCTATTCAAAATGAAATGAACCACAGCCATGAGGGGTGGGAGGGGGGAACAACATGTACACACATATAAAGCAATTAGTAATCACTAATTCATGTTTAGATTGATTTTGCTGAATATTTAGTAACCATTACAAAATACACTCACTTGTATATGCTGGTCAGTAATGCAAATATTAACAGGAATTTAATTAATTGGAAAAGAGTTGGTCTTATTAATCCTCAGCAATGTGACTAGAAAACACACTAAGTTTGTGTATTGCATGTATAGTCATATTATTCCCCAATATATCCAAAACTGAACAGACAAGTTGAAAATGCTTTTCTAACACTCCAACTTCAAAAATATGAAAAAATTTTAAAAACTAAAAAGAACACTAAAAAATGTAAAAAAAATCTTAAAAACTAAAATGGCCACTTGAAAATAAATAAATAAAACTAACTCAAAAACAAAAACAAAATTGAAAAGGAATTAACGCTAAATAAAAACTTTAAAAAAGAAAAAGAAGAAAATTAACGCAAAGAGTAAAAATAAAAATAAAAACATAAAAATTACGAAGAGAAAAGAACCCAAAATAATGAAAGAAAAACCATATGAAAAAGTTGAGATAAGAAACAACATAAAAAATAATTTTTAAAACCAAAAAAGCACTTGGAAACACTAAAAATACATGAGAAAATATATTATGAAATATAAGTACTTAATTGTAAAATAAATATTGAAAATAAACAACAAAACTAAAAATAAGTAGAAAGAACACCAAAAAAAACATAATGAGCTATGGAAAAAAAATTATCCAAAAGAAAAAAAAAACTGAAAAGCATTAAAAAAAATTAAAAAAAAAAACTTAAAAACTAAAAGAATTATAAAAAAAAAAGGATCAAACTGAGAGAAAAATGAAAATACGTTATTAAAATTATAAAAATACAAAATTATAAAATAACTTTGAAAATACGAAATGGAACTTATTTTATAATTTTGAATTTTTTAAAATATGAAAAGGACTGTATCTTGCCCCTATGAAAAAGTAGAAATAAAAAATAACAAAAAAAAAAAAATTTAAAACCAAAAAAGCACTTGAAAACACTAAAAATACATGAGAAAATATATTATGAAATATAAGTACTTAATTCTAAACTAAACATTGAAAATACACAACAAAACTAGAAATAAGTAGAAAGAACACCAAAAAAAACAAAATGAGCTATGGAAAAAAAATTATCCAAAAGAAAAAAAAATGAAAAGCATTTTTAAAAAAAAAAACTTAAAAACTAAAAGAATTAAAAAAAAAAAGATCAAACTGATAGAAAAATGAAAATACGTTATTAAAATTATAAAAATACAAAATTATAAAATGAACTTTGAAAATATGAAAAGGAACTTATTTTATAATTTTGAATTTTTTAAAATATGAAAAGGACTGTATCTTGCCCCTATGAAAAAGTAGAAATAAAAAATAACAAAAAAAGTAATTTTTAAAACCAAAAAAGCACTTGAAAACACTAAAAATACATGAGAAAATATATTGTGAAATATAAATACTTAATTGTAAAATAAACATTGAAAATACACAACAAAACTAAAAATAAGTAGAAAGAACAGAAAAACATAATGAGCTATGAAAAAAAAATAACCAAAAGAAAAAAAATGAAAAGCATAAAAAAACTTAAATAAAAGAATAAAAAATAAAAACAAATAAAAAGAACAAAAGAAGATTAAACTTAAAGAAAAATGAAAATACGTTATTAAAAATTATAAACGAACTTTGAAAATATGAAAAGGACTGTATCTTGTTCATATGAAAAAGTAGAAATAAAAAATAACATAAAAATAATTTTTAAAGCCAAAAAAGCACTTGAAAACACTAAAAATACATGAGAAAATATATTAAGAAATATAAATACTAAATTGTAAAATGAACATTGAAAATGCACAACAAAACTAAAAATAAGTAGAAAGAACACCAAAAGAACATAATAATGAGCTATGGAAAAAAAAAATTATCCAAAAGAAAAAAAAAAAAGCATAAAAAAACTTGAGATACTAATAGAATATTAAAAAAATAAAAATAAAAAAGATTAAACTGAAAGAAAAATGAAACTACATTATTAAAAATATAAAAAGAGAGATAAAGAAGCAATTTTGTTCCTTTCTACTCCAAGTTCAGAGTTTGGGTTGCAAACTGTTTGTATTACACCAGAAAAATGGTGACATGGAGGGAGAGTACGCATTAACATATAATAACAAAAAAAAAAAAGGGAATTGTGTAAAGAGAGACCTCACGCGTACAAAGTGGGCACGCGCCATCATAAAGCATCTCAATTTTCCAATTCTTTGAAGCCCTAGCGGAAAATCTTGGGAGCCACAGCATCCACAGTTGTTCCACTTAACTGAAAATCTTGATTCTGAAATTACATAGAATATAGTAAAACAATTGCACAATCAACAGACAACCCACAACCCACAACAATTATCATCAATGTAATACTCTATTACTCTTTATGATTTTTAGAAATATGGAACATTCTATTAGAGTAAAGTCTACAAGTTGTTTGGCCATGGATGAAACACAACCACACCCAGGATATGAAAACAGAAAATTGTTCATTTACAAATCATAAATATGACTGCGTTATTTGAATGACAGGGATGAAAGAGTACCAGGAAGATTATGGATTGGGGAGTGAAGGTGAAGATACCCAAAGTCAATGAGTCAAGACGCAGGCTACGGCCGGGAACCAGGGCAGACGACGGCGCAGATTCGACGGTGCCGGGAACCAGGGCAGACGACGGCACAGATTCGACGGGTTGATCAAACTGCTAAAATTATAAACCCCACTAAGAGCCGGACGATCAAACCGCTGAAATCGTAAACCCTAAGAGCAGAGTTTACCTTTGGGGGAGTTGTTTCAGTAAACATGCCCCCACACTATGAAAAAATTACTTGAAACAACAGACCTCAACTAAAGAGACTCGTTGTTTGCTCATCGCTTACCCAAGCAATCCGAGCGATAATTTTTCTGAGCCTTGAGGCCCCTTTTATAGGAGCCTCAAGGCTCCCCCTGCCACTTCTCCCACCGATGTGGGAGAAGTGGTAGAATTAAGGGGCGCTCCCTTTTTTTTTTTTTTTAATTAATTTATTTTATTTATAATAATAATAATCCTTAACATACAAAAATAATTCTATATACTAAATATTTTCAAAATGATGAAAGTCAATAAAAGACAATTAATAAAGTAAAAAAATATAATATTTTTTTTTAAAAAAAAATTGTCAATACTCTCTCCACTGAAACTCGAACACACAACCTCTCATATTAACATTAGACCATGAGGTTATTGGCATTAAAAGTAATTTTGTTGTTATTGTTTTATAATAATATTAATATTAATTTATGTTTTAATTTATATAAAATTTAAAATAATTTAAGGTTAATTGATTAAATAAATTAAACAATCAACTAGTGTATTTATAACTCATTTTACCGGTAATTAGCTAGTTGCAAGCAACTATAATTTACCAAACATTTTTCTACAAGGTCAAATCAACTAACCCAATAGCTAATTGCCAACACCCTCACTCTTTTTGTTATAGTAATACAAATAATTTTCAATATTACTCCTCATCTTGCAAAAAATTTTTTTAACACTATTAAATCTCACAGATAAATTATAATTAATTGGAATTAAAATGATGAACACGTAAAACTGAATATTTAAATACTTGAACTAAATCACTTCAAAATCCATCTATCCTTGCTTGGGTAATATTTTGATCAAGCACACTATTGATCATGTAATTATCTAATGGGTGGTATTCTGGCAGGGATTCTTACAATCTAACGACGTTCACATTTTTTGGTTATGCAAGGACCAAAATTTTAGATGATGACTTGAGGGACCATAAAGTTTTCCTTATGCAGATTCCTCCACGGTAAGACCTTATATCATTTTCCTTCCCAGATTTCTTCTTTCTTCAACGGTTGCAGTAAATTAATCGAACGAAAACTTTATGAACAGGCATATCAAATTCGTGTGGAACAATGGCCGCCATAGTGAGCACGATTGGAACTGGGTTCTTTGTACAGTGGCTGGGATCTTTCCAAGCATTTTTGACACTCACAGCTTGTCTCTACTTCATCTCTGCCATTTTCTGGAATCTTTTTGCCACTGGTGAAAGGGTTTTCTAAACTCAAACTCCATTCAGTAGCCTAGCTGAAGATGAAAAAATACAGAAACAGTGGGGAGAGGAAACCTCATTGCAATGCTTCATTCTTTAGTGTCGTTTATATTCTAACATATGTCTGGGGAAGGATCAGACTTAGGATTGTATAGATATTTATACATTTATATATGGAGTATATGATATAATATATATATACATACATATGTCGTGTGCATCAAAGAAAAGAAGGAAGAGGAATAACATTTTTTTTTTTGTTTCTTGTTGATTCTTTGATGAGTTTGATCCAATTTGATCTTTGTCATTTCAATTAGTCACATTTGAAAAAGCATTCAGGCTGTTTGTGTATGGTTTGGTTTTTAATTTTTTATAAACAAAACTATGAAATTAAAATATTAGCTTTTTGTTTGTTAAGCGGTCCGCGATCAAGATCGCCAACTTTTTAGCTTGAAAGGCTTTATCTAAGACTGGCCGGATGGACTGTAGTTTGGTCCCGTTTCTTTCTCTTGTTCATGTTTTGGATCTTAACTCTATTTAATATACTTAATTTTTCTTCTAAACAAAAAAACATAGATTTGTTGGATTGGTTCTCACTTGCCAAATGCCATAATCTCCTAATCCATTCTTCTACCTATATGTTATATACTTATATACTTAATTTATAATGATACTTTCTCATAATCTCACCAATTATAATCTTACATTGCCTTTTGTTTGGCAGTAAAATATCTCAGTAAATCCTGTCACTTTCTTAGGATTTTTTTAATTAAATAAATAATTACTGTATAATGATGCGACTATAGATAAATATCATGCGATGATTTTGAGAAAAAACATATTGTTACGTTGTAAATGTCTTTTTTAGAAGTAATGAACAAAAGAAAAATAATTAAAAAATAAAATTTCCAATATGTTAAAAGAAAAAGAAAACAAATAAAAATTATGATTTAATTTTTTCAAATCAATCTAAATATGTCATCAATAAGAAAAAAAAAAAAAGAATTTTACCATGAGAACTCTCAAATTCTAATCTATCAATTATATTATCTGATGTGGCAAATATGGATATGACATTTTCATATTGAGGGTTCAAAAAAAGTTGTTTACATCCAAAATTTGTAAGAGAGAGCAAAAATGAGAGTATAATTTGATATGGTATAAGTAGTATTTTCTAGAGTAAATATCCAAAATGGTCCATCGACTAGCTAAATTCACAAATTGGTCATCAATTTTCAATTTCAACCAATTAAGTCCTTAACTTTGCAACTTTGACACGATTTGGTCCTCCATCTATTTGACCGTTTGTTGACCGCGACCTTTGGTGATATATATGTAGTTTCACGTGCAAAGCTCAAGAGAACACTCTTGGAGGTGGCATCGTTGTTTCAGAGGGGGAAGTGCTTCTCCGCTTGCTGCTTGGGGATCACAAGCCGGTTCAGCTTAGAGAACGCTCTTGGAGGTGACAACGCCGTTTCGGAGGGGGAAGTGCTTCTCCACTTGCTGCTTGGGGATCCTGAGCCGGTTTAGCTTGCCTACATCGCTTGGAGTCACGGCTTTCTCGAAGAGCCACTCTAGTGACTTTGGTGATCTATCTATCAAAAGCTATAATCTCTCCGGCATGGGGGTGTAGCGCCGACAGTGGGTTCGAATGTAACAGTGCGGTCTAGAAATGCAACCGGAACCTTAAAAACCGACGATGAACCATGAAATTACATATATATCATAAAAAGGCGTAGTCAACAAACGATCAAATAGACAAAAGATCAAATTGTGTTAAAATTGCAAAGTTAAGGACTTAATTGGTTGAAATTAAAAGTCAAGGATCAATTTGTGAATTTAGGTATAGTCGAGGGACCATTTTAGATATTTACTCTTTTTTATAATAAAAAAATTACTAAAAAGTGAGACCTATTGTAGTACTCCGTATATATATTACTTATATAAAATAAAAATTAAGAAAAAAAAATCAAGAAAAAGAAAAGGGTTCAATGAGTCATGACGCTAACGTGCGCTCCCTTACACGAAACAATTATCATCCGTCACTACTCACTCCCGCTTTTCTTTAACAGCCCAGTGGCAGGTGGCGCAATGACCGTTCTGCCCCGTCCTTCCCTTTCCCTGTTTTGTGTAAGCTCCCTATCAACCCACCAACCCAACTCGCGCCCACGTTCGCAACCCTCGCCCAATCTCCCTTCTCACTTCTCTCCAACCGATTCATGAATTCTCACATATACGTACACAACATGTATCTCTCTTTTTTCCCATAATAATTTCCCCCATTTTTTTTCTGATTTTCCCCCCTCTCTTGAATGGGTTCTCGTTCTAAACCTGGATTGAACAGCTGCAACAAAATCTATGCGATCTCCTCGTCTCTTTAACTCTCTATAACAGCGGGGCTTTTGTCTCTAGGGTTTTGGAAACTGAAATTCTGCTGATTAAGATTCTTGCTTTTTCACCTCAATTATATAGGGTTTTTATTTTTTCATAGAGGGGTCTGTAATACATATACAAATTTTTGTCCTTGGGTTCAAACGTTTCACTGGGAGTTGGAATTCATTGGCTTGTGGGACTCGGAAGGTTTGAAAAATTTACTCCTTTTATGATTGCCAATTTCCTTCTTGTTAGTTCATTATATTTCTATGGCGGTGTTCATTTTCTTTATGTTTAGTTTCTTATACTGATTTTGATTAATTAAGGCTATTTGAGAGATTGGTGGCGTACACTGCCGCTTAGAAATGTAGGGAAACTCAATGTGGTTTGGGAAATTATGATCTTAGCCTTTGAAGTTAAAGTAGACTGATAGAAGGTGATGCCATGTTAGTATGCTACTTTCTTCATTGAAGGAATTTGAACTACTCATATAGATATGAAGGGCACAGTGACACTGGGAAACATAACCCTTAATCTGGACCAGTCTGAAGTTGTACATGCCCCTAAGACATTGGGCATAACTGCATAAGTATATCAGAATTGTTTTGCTAGCTTCATTGGTGTTATCTGTCATCATCTTTCTAGCAACAAAGGCAATTATATGTAAATGAATTTTCTTCTGTTCGCAAATGTAGGTGAAAAAGAAGGCAAACTAATGTAAATTTCTATTGGAAAATTCCAGCCTTTCCAGCAATTGAAACTGTGCAAACAGTAATGTTACATGAATATTTGCATCTGATGTTCAACTGTGAATATGTGTTTATAAGCAGACTTGTTTATTAAACATGAGATTTATGGCCATTGTATTCTAACCTCTTGGGTCACAACTGCAATATCTATTCTATCGTTGTCTTCAAAATATTGCTTAAAGTTGCAAATTTTAGGCATATTTATTATTGTTTTCTTATTTCCCTTAAAAAACAATGAAAGCTTGTTTTTTTCTTATGGTTCTGCACTTGGTAATACAGCTTTTTTGTTTTAAATCTGACACTTTTTAATTTTTATTTTTTAAACTTGGTGGGTTTAGGTAGTCTCACTGTGGCATTGCTGATAAATCATAATAAATTTGTTAGCCACTTATTGGTATATGTGTCATGGTGCATCTTGAATGATTGCCAGCATGGACTTAAATGCATCACCACAACCAGACGATGATGATGAGTTCTTCAGAAAACAACTAGAGGAGGAATCAGAAGAGCCTATTGTAGAACACAGCATTGAACATGCGGATTATGTAGTTAGTGCTGTAGAAATTTCACGCAGGGTACATCTCTCTATTTATTTTATTTAATTTTTAATTAATATTTTGGTCATGCCTAAATGTTTGTACCTATTGCGGCTTTCACTATATCCCAATTTATAATCTGGCTTTCAAAGTATAAATCAGGCAGTGGAGAGGTGGTAGGGGATAATTCAAAGATTATGCAGTAATAGAAGAAATATATATATATATATATATATATATATATATATATATA